TTTCGAAACAAACTCATATAGCAGTATATATTACTTGAAAATCAGTATTTTTACTAGTTATCTTTCCTTTCTTAGTTTCAACCCAAATTTTGTCATGCTACTCTGGTTATCAGTACAAATACTAAACCCCAACGCGTAAAATATTAGTTAAAATACACGTTTCTTTCGTATAACCTGCCTGCGGAACATGTGAGAACTTCTTTGACTTTTATACGTTTTAAGAGTTAAAAGAGCCCGTGACGCTTCGTTCTATTGTTAATTCAATACCCGTTAGCGTGTGTACGCTTTTTTTTAATAGGTAGACTTGACCTTTCTGACCAACGAGCCTCAAAAGCCCAAGAAGAATGATTAAATGGTATTTATCTCATAGATATTGCGAACTTTTTTTTTGAGAACTCGTTATGCTCCTGTTCAAAATTATTGGATTTTGACATTATTTTATTTGTTATAGGACGGTTATTTTCAAAACTCATCATATTATGACTTAGATTCGAAATTTTTTCCTAGATCCTATTATTTAACTAATCTAAATATCCTTTCATAGATTGCGAAGTACTCTGTCATTTTCCACCTTTTACTGATGCATCTGATCAATGATCGATCATATGGCAGATTTTATCTATGATTCTATTGTTTATTCTCAAGAATTGTATGCCTGGTCTACGTAACGTGTTTTCTTTCATAATCAATACTACCAAAAACTATATTAGATAATGTCAAATTCTGCCTTAATTAACAAAACCCCCAATAATAGTATTACTGATCTATGGTCGTATATGTTGAGAATGATACAGAAATTCGCCAGTTCATCCATAATTTAATGCCGTACAAGCAAGATTTTGGACCTTCGAACATTACATGAATTGGATGTTGAGCTTCCGCATGCGTATCCAATTTTACGAGTCTTTCGGAACATCAATAAAATTAAGCACGCGTTCGAGCAAATGTGAAAAGTATTATGAAAATTATGAATGTAAGCATCAATATCTATGAAATAATTTAATTAGGAGGAGGAGAACCAGCATATAATGGAGTACCTTAAGGATACATATCTAGAAATATTGAAGGAACGACAGGATAAGGTTCTTAGCAAGGGTTGTGATTTTTACCATTTTACTAATTAAATGGAAAACTTACAAACATAGTTTGAAATCCAAAATATAACTTGTTACATGCACAAACGAATAAGAAGGATTATGCTAATGCCAACAGGTGTTGTTAGTTCCAAAAGAAAGGCGAACCAAAAAAAAAAATTCCCGTGAGCAGATAAAGAAAGGAACAGATAGTGACGATGAAGAAGCAATGGAAGAATATGTTCTCTTTGATGAATCGAATGAGATCATTTTAATTGATTCTATAGATGAATCTAGGTTGAAAGAAGGAGCAGTGTTGCCAATTCCAGAAGCAATCCTGATGTAAGTTTTTTTGTTACAGTCTAAACTTGGTAATTACATTCTCAGCATGCTAATTCAACAATGCTTAATAGAGTTCAAAGCAGGAACTTTACAAAGTATCTCCAAGAAATTTAATAAATATCAGGAAAAATTCCTAAGGAACATCGAATAATGACGTAAGCTTTGTTTTGTGGTTTCAACATGATAAATTACTTGTTCTTAAATTTTGCTTGCTATTTAGTAGATTGGGTCAGTGTTGTCAAGGGACGCGGACACGGACATGGACCGGATCGGACCACATCTCTTGTTAATTCTGGCCAAAAGATATCATGTCCCAATTGTCCTACGGACACAGTTCCGGACATGGACTTTCGGACGTCCCGTGTCCGCCAAAAATCACCGGGATAAGTCTGTGTACAACACTGGATTGGGTTATTGGGATTTTGATTTAACGCAACAGATTCTCTATGAATGCACGAAGTTTTCCAAAAATGAAATGAATAAAATCGTGCAAGATTCTGCAAATCACGTTCATTGGTCTCCACAACCAACTCCGGAATACCTTCAGCAATATTCTGATTCTAATTGTGATCCAACTAACTTAAATATATATAATGCTTTACTCGTATTTATGCGAATGTTCTAATATCTAATGAGACTTTCCTTTTTTAAGTCTCTATAATATATCTAAACAAGGAGCTAAAACGGAAGAGGAACATAAATTTATTATCATATATCCTTTATTCAATATCATTCGTTTATTAAAGATACTTGGTATGTCATTTTGAGTTGATTTACAACAAAATACATAATACTAAAAGATTTATCTATGTGCGTATAGGGGAGAGACTCAGACGCTTTACTCGATGGATGAGGAAAAAAATCTTTCGTCAAATCTAGTATGGAAAGAAAAGTTGATATGAAAGACGTCCTGAAAAGGACATCCAATAAATTTGAAGCCTTTCGGAGAGGTTGCGCATGGGTTAGAATGGACGCTTGCAGGTAAGCAGATATCTTATGTAGACCATTTACCTGAACTTTGCTATATGACGGATTTTATCTCATTCAATATAGGATTTGAAATGCAATGGACTGGACTGTATCGCTTTGGATTGATAAAACATTATCATATTCCATCAAATAAAGAAAATTGCGCCTCATTTGAAGATGCCTTTTGCCTCTTGAAAGAATTGGAGGTATGTACATCTTGCTCTTAACCTATAATATAATTGTTAAATACTCAATTTTCTAGTTTTGTGCAGAGAAAATTAACTGAAACGGAAAAGCTCATCCAGGAATTAACAAGCCGGTCACCCTCGGATCACCGCGGCATTGACGATTGATTTGCTGCCATTTCTGGCATACTGTATCTGTTGAATTGACATTTCGGACCTTTACGCAAGTTCGGACTCCTCGGGATGATGGAATGTATATGTCAAAATGACCGTTTTTGACATGAAGCAATTAATAAGCATTTCCGTCAAGCCGCAAGAAACGGGTCTTTGCCAAGAATTCTATAACCAAGCCATGGGAAGGAAATTTATTATAAAAAGAAGGGTTTTTTTCGCCTTGGATTTTAGATTAGAATTAGATAGTTTTATATTCTCTTTGGGCCCATTACAGAGTGCCGGCAGAGGCAGTAATAGTTGCATTTATTGTATTATTCAACATTTTATTTAATAAATTAATTTCCCTTATATTTCTTTCAATAAAACTTTATTTAATTTTACTAATTTTACATAGATAGTTCGCAATAATACATTGAGTCCAAATAAATAAACTAGGGAATGGAAACCGTTGGAGTGTTCGAAGCATTTCACAAGTTTTATTAAATAGTTAATTATATTTAAAATGTATAGATGTATTAATAAAATAAAAAATACTTGAAATGTATAAATGCATCACTAAAAAAAACTTAAAATGTATAATATTGTTTAACGATCACATGCGTTCAAATTGTTCAATTTATTTCTAATAGCACGCGATCCGAGACTTATGCTATTCTACGGTCCTTTTGCACGTTTACTCTCAAGTTGTTCGGAATTTTCATTCGCTCTTTTTTTTGTTTTCATAGCGTATTACGAAGCGGTTGGTTATCCATTCAGAAGCTAATATTAATGAAAATCGATAATTGTCGGGGATTTTATTATTTATTCAATTATTAAAATCACGAGAAAAAAATATTCAATAGAAAATTTATTCAATCAACACTTTTATTTAAAAATAAATTATTTTTTTATTTTTTTTATTACATAAAATAATTGTTTAAAAAAATAGTAGCGTGAAAAAAATCACGTTATAAATCACATGTTACCTGATCTTGCAAACTGATTGGATCTACACGCAGGCTTCGGACAATAATACCTATAATTGAGGTGACACACGCGTGGAAAGAGTAGATAACTATTGATACTCATTTATCCGAAAAGAAATTAAAATGCTAAACATATAATAAATTAAAAAATTAAACCAAGCCTTTTGAATTTTTTTTTTTTATTCACGTTTATTAACGTGTCATTGTGTGACTTTCAGATAGATTATATCTTTAATATTTTACGATATTTCGCAATTATTTCATAAGAATGGTGATATTTATTTATCTGCTTTTTGATATTTTATATAAATATTTATTGTTTTAACAACAATTATAATAAGATTAAATAAAGATTAATATGAAAAAAATCGATGAGAACAAATAAAACTATTGTTATAAATTTAATTAACCATTTGCTAAAAAAAAGTTGGTGTCTCAGGACTCAGGATACCCTTTTCTATACGTAAAGTTTAACGAACTATATACATATACTTGATTAAAATTTTTGCTAATTATTGATTTCTTTAAAAATTAAAAAATTTTTCTTTATTATTATTATTTCATTATGATAATTACTTAGACAACAGGCACCGTTCAAGCGTCCGAAACGTTATGCATGACGAATGTATTGATCTTCTATTGTATTCGTTAACGAAAAAAAAAATTATCAACAAGTTATGTAGCTTTGTTTGGTGTAAACATCCAGTCGAAAGATTGTTTTATTTTCAATATCTGTCGCCACAGTCTGCAGTTCCACTATACGCCCACCAATTAATTCATGTAACTACTTTGCTTCCGCAACATTACATGACTTGCACTTATTGACTAGATAATCTTATAGTTTCACTATCATTAAAATCCTAGGAATAGTAACCACCAATCACACTTTGAATCTTTTACGTTGCCTCAAAAAAACTAAAAATAAAGCTTTTACCAGCTGCTGGTAATCAGCATTAAATTACTCGTCTTTTTTAGGACCGATCCTTCGCTAGTAACAAATACTACAACGAATTTTGAACCATCTTTGGCATTTTTTTTTTGAAGAATATGAATATAGGTGATTAAAAATTATCAACTATAAAAATAAAATAAAATAAAATATTACCATTATCCGAGCCCAAAATTTTCCGCCTGTTTAAAGTAATAAATTCTTAATGTCTTCACCAAGTGCGCGTCACAAATCCTCCAAATTATTTGTTGTATCCTTTTCGATACAAACATATACAACTTCATAATCAACTTCTCTTGCCGCAAGCCTGCTCAACGACATAATATTTACTCTCATAAACAGTTGGCTGAAAAATCTTAAGTCTTTGTAATGTTTGCTTTGCGGTGAGACACAATCAACTCATTTTCCACATCAAGCTCTGGTTTATTGCCATTTGAAATAGTTTTATATAGGAGATATTCGTTATAAAGATTTCTCGACTATGCGTAAAAAATCCTCTGATACAAAACCAAAAAAATGCAGATAACAAAAGTTTCGTTCCTAAAGCGGCATGCGGGTAAAAAAGTTTTAAGCTCAACTAAACAACGCAAAATAAAAAATTGAACGACAAGTGTGATAATATCAGAAGAAGATTAGCAAATCTCTCAAGTAGGATTTCATTGTTGTCCAATCAAATTTTGATTAGCAACTACGCCACATATAACGTAAGTTGTTCCCCTAATCCCATAATTCTGACAATGAGACAAAATGAATATAAATTCTCGTTATGATTTGAACTTTTTCTCTTCAATTTGCTCATATGAGAGCAATAGTAGGAGTTAAGGTGATGACGTAGTCTTGATATATCAATTCACCGAGCCCCTCCGAGTCTGAAACTATATAAAGAGTTAAACCCTTCTCTTTCTTTTGTACAGTCCGAAAAAGGATAGAGGTGTTCACCTTTCTTCGAGTGCATATTACTAGGAAGTCAGGCTTGGACGTCTCGACCATTTTTTTATCCAATCAATTATGGTACGGAATTGCAAGGTTTCTGGTTTTTCTGGTTGGTTCGATTCCAACGTTGATTCTTACATTTTGATCACGAACTGTCCAAATATTAGAAAAAATAAATGAATTCCTAATGTAAAAAGGTTATTTATATAACTTCGATTTCGAAAGTTAGAAATTTTTATTTGATTATGATAAAAAAGTAAATAGAAAAAAAAGAAATTTTGTATTCTACTAGTAATATTTTTAAAATAATAAAGATACAGTATATTTTTGAAGAAAATGTAGATTATTTTAAAAGCATTGAGAAATAATAACGAAGCTATGATCCTAAGAATAAGTTATTAATAGTGGTTGTTTAATTAATAAATGATTTTTTTTTATTGGATTAATCGAATTATGTTTTTGTATCATCCTGGTGACAGTACTTTAAAACATTGGATGAGGAATCTGATATGTGATCGATTGATAGCATTTTATTCGGTTCTTTAATTTCTCCGTGTATATAGTAGCAAAATAAAAGATTAACAAGATCAAAACCTTTTAATTTTAGAAAGAAATGTTTATTATTTTTTCACTGGAACATCGAGTAAGCTTATAATATACATATGTGGGACGATTGCTATGAAAATCAGGGTTCTGAGAATTATTTTAACTAAAAATTACCATGTTCTGCCAATTATAAAATATTTTGATTTCATTTTTTTTCTTTTCATGAAAGAAAGTCACTGATTGTATATTTTTCTTTAAAATATATTAAACATTAATTATATTGTATCCTATTAAATTCAATTTTTTAACATTTCTTTTTTTCATTAAATTATTAAATTATTATTATTATGATTATGTCTTTTCCTTTGCAGATAATATATAATTGTACAATATAAATTAAAGTCTATAGATCTAAAATGTTCCGCATACATTAATAACGTCGATGAGAAGAATATAAGTCCAAAAATCAATAACAATAGTATATTAATGATGTCGACGAGGCTTAAATATGAGGACAATAATAAGTCCAAAAATTAATAACAATAAAAGTAAAATAATCTTCCTATTTCTAGTTCTTTTTTGATATTGTGCTCCCTAAATAGTAATAATTTTAAGAATAAATTATCAAGAAATCTTATAATTTAAAAAAAAAAATAATAATAATTTCATTTTACCTTATCTAATTCTCTGACAGCTGATTTAACATCAACATTCATTTGTTCAACATTATAATCAATTCGATCGAATAATGTTCCCTGATCAATAACAAGTGCTTGAAGATCTCTAAAAATTTCTGCTATTGTGTATATAGATTTTGCAATTTCATTTATTTCTCGCTCTCGTTGTGAAATAATAACTTCCGAAGATTCCATAACTGCAAGTTGATTTGAAGTAAATCCCTAAAGCCGAAAAAAAAATACGTAAACGATTATAATTTTGACATCAAGTTAAATATTTTGCCTTCCTCATACCAATTCCAAATCTTCCTCATTTGAATCATTGCTTTCTATTGAAAATAATCCCGAACTCTTAGACTCTCCTCCTTTAAGTTCTATATAAATAAATAACTATATTAGTTTTCTTTTTTTTTTTTTAACAATAATAAATTCACTAAAAAAAAAAAATTAAATATTTTGAAAAGCTACTTTTCATGTACAATGCTTGTTGTTTTCGAAAACCAGATGATAAATCTTGTAACTTTGAAGCTAATGATGTTTGAATATTTTTGCTCATTGCTCGTTCTTGATTTGATGCTGATGATGATAAACTTTCAGCAATTCGTTTAATTTTCCGTTGGCATTGTTGAAATAACTAAAATGAAAGAAAATTTTTTAATAGGTTTATTTAAATAAAAAGGAAAATTTTTATTATCAATTACATGTGTTATTTCGTCTGTTAATCGTTCTATCTCTTCCTCTTCTTTAGTTCGATCATCAAATCCTGGGAGAACATGTTTCTTATGAAGTGACTCTAGTGTTGGAACTATCAAATTAAAATATAAGAAATTTAAGAGGATTGGACTTGTTCAAATATAAATATGAACTGTTAATTTTATCAACTAACTTAGATTTTTTATTTGATCGATATCATCGTCCACCTCTCCAACTATATCCACCCTGAAATAGATAATAATGCAAACATAGTGTTCTCGGGCTTAGAATAAATGTTAAAGGGCTTCTTCAAAGAATAAACCATTAATCTAATAAATTTAGATTTCACCATTTTGGTGGTAAAACGGAAAGTTCAATAACGTGGTCCGAACTTTCTATTAAACCTGTATGCTCTGAAGTATTATAAGAATCATAACCATTTGAAGAGGCAGCTAAGGGTCGTGAATGAATATTTCTCGCAAACGTATTACGATATTGTAAAAATAAGAGTGTTCTGCTTCTGGTCGTCATCGGAAACTGTTTGTATTGTTGCAAAAATTTTTAGCATAATTTCTCAGCTATTATGCTTATTATGCTTGGATCGCGATATCACGTGGTCAATTAATCAACATGCCTAACTAAACATCCGATGCCAGCTCGCACAAAAATTGAGTCGATACGTGATTGGTCCACAGAAAATATGGGGCTTTTGACGCGAAGCATTGATCAAAATAAAATAATATCATGTTATTAACAAAACTTCTTCTTTCGCATGATTTTTAAAATAACGGAATATAATAACATTTATAATTAAGTTCTTTTACTGGATCAGCAAAAGAATCGGTAAATAGTTATTCAATAATCGTGTTATATTAAACTCGGAAATTAGAAATACAAAATTTAATTAACTAAATAATAGCATAATATCTATTAGATTTCTGTTAAATTTATGTTTTGACGCTTCTTTAGTCATTTACCTCGAAATATTGTTTCATTTCGTAAATATTTTTTTTGTAATGCTACTTCTAAATTATTACATTTTAAATCGATCCTAAGACCGGTCTAAAGATTGATCTAAAAACCGAAATAAAGATCACTTCAGATCTAACATCCCTAGCTATATGTTCGTCAATAGATAAGCAATTTGTGGCCAAGAATTATAAGATATGTCACATGATTAGTAATTTTATTTAATATTTTCATTTTCACAATACGCTTTCCATTTTTTTGTTTTTATTTTGTTAAAAGTCCTTGTGAAATTAATTTTTGTTAAAAAATAAAAGTAATTTTAAAAAGGTGGTCGTCACAAAACCAAAAAAAAAGCCATTTTGTTTGTTTTCATAAAAATAATAATAGAATAATATTTATAATATTTTACGTGAATAATGATTATTATTATTATTATTGTTATTATTTTTAAATGTTTAAATTTTCTATGAATCTGTACAAAATTATGAACTTTCATATCAACAAGTCAATTCCTAATAAAGAAAAGAATAATGGTAAGTTGGTTAGTGAAATGAAAAAATGAAAAAAACGTGTATACATAATATATCATAAAACTTACCATAATAGCATTAACGATATCGTTACTATTATTCTTCAATGCCTTTACGGCCTTAGGTCGAGACACATTCTGAAATATATATAAAAAAAAATAATTAATTTAGTAAAGGATCAAAAAAAGGTTCATTTAAAAATGAATTCACGAATAAGATAATATAGCAGAATGAAACGTACCGCTTGACTCATAACCAATTCAATATCCTTAGCCTCAACATTAGATTCGTCCACATTCAAATCATCTTCGTCTTCCTCAACAGTTTCTTCGTCTACCTTGGTGACTTCTTGAGCAGTAGCCGCAGCTTCTGCAGCTTGGAATTGTTGAGCGGCATTAGCTTGAGCTTGAGAATTTAGATCCTCAATTTTGGCTTCACCAAACACAATGTAACAATCAGAATTGGCAGATTTATAGACATCAGGGTTAGAAACAACAAAGAGAATCTAGAGTAATTAAATGAAAAATAGATGAATCAAACGTTTTCATTATTTATCCTTGATTTATTAAATAAATAAAAAAAAAATACATTTTTTGGTCTTCGGATGGTGACACGATTAATTCCTGGTACAACTTTTAACCCTAATTTCAGCATTGCCTTACGAGCCTTCTTTTCTCCACGACTCTGAATTTTGGAAATATCAGCTGGGGTGATACCAGAAGGAACCATGGCCTCCTCCTCTAATTCTGGGATATCTTCGTCGGAATCATCCTCCGATTCAACTGTAGCAGTTTTTTTTTTATCCGTAGATTCCTCAACGATCTGTTTTGAACTGCCACCACTACTTTCACTCACTATACTTTCTTTTACTGTTTCATCTTTAATTTCCTCAATTTTGTTTTCCTCATTGATTTCCACAATCTTTTGTTCTGTGCTTCCCATTATGTTTTTGGTGAAATTTTTACCGTGAAAAAAAAAAAATAAATTAGGGTGCAAACTTCCTAATACGTGTTGATCAATCAATCAATTTTGATGATGATAATCTAAATTACTCTTTTTTTATGATAAACTGATGAACATAATCTTGGTCAAAAAAAAATTTTTTTATTTGTATAAATAATTTATCTTTTGGGAATCGATAAAGAATTATCATGAAATAACTTTGTTAAATGGCAGAATTGTTCCGCAGTTAAATTCCCAGGTCGTAATGACATATCAACATTTAATTGTTCGATGATTTTTGAGAGTATTTCTTTTTTATCCTTCGAAAGATCCTTCTGTAATTTGCTGTATCGCGCAAATTAAATTGTTGATTAATTAATACTTAAAAGAAGTAATAAATAAAAAAAAACCACGTTACTTGAATATAGAGTTTATTGATTTCCGCCGGGATAAATAAAAATATAGAACAATTTCTTGCAACAAATTTACAGGAGCTAAAATGTAAATCAACAGAATAAAGAAATATGTTTATAATGAATGATTTCCCTTTTTTATATATATATATGAAATTACCTTTCAATAATGGACTTTGTAAAGCCGTTAATTGAATTACGCTTGCGTCAACCTTGAATAAAAAATTTTCGAGCTATTACTATTGTTACGAAAAAATTTAATTGATACACGAAAAGGTGTTAATTAATTAATTACCTTTGGTCGAGGTACAAATATACTTGAGGGAACTTCGTAAATCTTTTTGGCTTCACAAAAACTTTGCACCAAGACTGACATCCGACCACGTTTTGAACTAGTTGTATCGGCAACAATTCTCTTTTGATTTATTTAATAAAATCAAACTTTTTACAAGTCATTTCGTAATTAATGAATACTCACATCTCCAACTTCTTTTTGAAACATTAAAGTCATTTTAGTGTTGGGAAATTTGAATATTCCCGATCGATTTGACAACATATTTATCCATTGTCCGAGAAGAGGAGTCGCAACATTAAATGGAAGATTTCCAATTAAATGTAAACTAGAATCTGAAGTTGATAACTTAATTAAGGGATTTGCTCGATAAGAACATCGTCGAGCCTTTGAGCACGCAAAATACCTGGACTTATGGTATTACGTATTTGCGCAACTTCCATAATCTTTTCATGATCGATTTTTAACATGTCACCTTTTATTATCTTGAGGAAAAAAAAAATCGCATGACATTTCTTGCAAGACATAAACAATTTGAATTCAATTTGATACATTACTTTCAAAGTATGTTCTGAAGCTTCAACCAATTGCTATCAAGAAATATTTATCGATCAGTAATGATCAATCAACTCAATCAACTTAATAATTCGCAAGAATGTTACCATAAGAACAGGTAAGAATCGAGAATCTTTTTCTATGGCTACGATGTTGGAAATTCCTGTTTCTAATAATGACCTTGTTAACGAACCAGGTCCTAAAAAAGACAAATCGTTGAATCTTATTCAAATTACGATGATGGCATACAATAAAAACATCTAAAGTACCAGGTCCAACTTCAACGATGAGCGTATCATTTTGACTTATTTTTGCGCATTTTACAATTTTATCTATTAAAAACGATAAAAATTAATCGATTTTTCTTTATCTCAATTCTTAATGTAAATAACGACCTGTTATATTTTTATCTAAAATAAAGTTTTGACTTAGTTGAACCTTTGCGGTCAAACCATATATTTTTACCAAATCGCGTACACCTAACAACTTCGGAAGTTGTTTAGATATCATTTCCGATAAAAAATCGAATTTGGATTCATATTATGAGATTTACCAAATTTTTTTAAATAAGATCTTTGATGGTGGGTGATTGGCCAACCTGTGGAATGATCGAATGATGATGTAAGCGAATGGAACACTTTGATATATAAATTGGAAAAACCGCAGATTCAAAAGCCTCATTGTTGGTTTGTCACCTCGGATTCCTCTGTTCACAATAAAGAAAATAATGTGCCCCTCCCCATTATGAACAGTGAGGAACCGTTGTTCACGTCCTTCTCCCCACCTGTTAACAGTAACTCTTCTACAGCAAAGACGTCGTCCACTACGCCTCATCACCTGAGATCTCAGACGAGCTTAACTACCGTTGTAAAAGCTCAAATTTCCTTTCTATTGTCAATCCTTTCGACTGACAATTACGAGAAAAACGTGGCTGAAATTAATTCGGTATGTATTATTATACTTATGCGCAAGATCACTACTTAGATCTATAAACTCGGAACTCCTTAATAAATGGTCCCATCTTAAGTAATGGAGTTGCTATAAAAAATTATTTTTACTAATAACCTAATTTTATAATGTTTAGCATTTAATCAAACACGGTCTAGATACATATTTTCATTTATTACGACGACTTCTGATTGATAACCAGTCTAGAATTTGTAACATTGGAACCCGTAGTTCAGAATTGCTCAATCATTCCTTGAGCTATCGTCTTTTAATTGAAAAGGTTATAGAAGCTGCAAGCGATCCTGCTATCTCTGCTGTTTTCTGTAAAGCTTTGAATTCCATAGATCACAGTGATTCTTTTAAAGATCTTGAACTAAATAGTTTTTTGGAACGCGTTGGAATTAATCCGGTCGAAAAGGTTGGACTTTGCATTTCATTGTTATCAGCAAATAGAAAGGAAATTGTAGAGCAAGGTAAGAACAAATTATTATTATTATTATTATGATGGTTGGGTGGTTCGCAAATCATAAAATTTATGTTTTTTTTTTGTTTTTCATTTGACTTGTAGCGCGCGAGATCATTAGACAAAATTTTGATCCGCTTGTTAAGGCTTTGGGAGATCAGTCAATTCAGGCTCATTTATCAGAGAAGCTACTTCATCATTTAATTGCTTATTACAAATCTTACGAGGCTGAAAGTAGAAGCATTTCATCCGCACAAATTGATACAACTTCAAATACTTCGGCTGTCTTCAAACCTGTACCCCTTGCTCTTCTTCTTAATTCAAATCAGACTGTCCCTACAGCGTAAGTACCAATATATTTTGTTTATTCGTATGAGTAATAAGTACTTATTTTCTACACAATTAATATTTTAGCGATTTTTCTAATACTAAAATGGGAGAAACAAGTGATCAATCATTGTCCAAAATTATGCGTGACGTGGGTTATAATTGTTGTAGTTCTGCTTCCGCATTTAGAAATATCTTGAATCAATTGGGAGTAACGTCTGCCGAGTCTGGTGAGATTATCAGAGACGAAGATGTTGCCCAAGCTATTGGTATGATGGCAATAACACATACCAATCTTGAGGATGGTGGCGCATGGAGCCTGGGAGTTGATTCTCAAGAACGTAAGCAGACGTGGGACATTGAAATTTTCGCTTCAACCTTGGTGGAACTGGTTAGTATTTCGATCATTTTAGTTTTCAAAGATATTTTACTTTGACGCTAAATTACAACATTATTAAATCTTTGTTTTAGCAACCTCATTTAGACTGGGTTAAGATAATAGAAAATTTAGATTACCCAGATTTTAATATTCATGATACAAAAGGTTTGGAAATAATATTATCAAGTTTTAGGAAAGCAGTCAAGGTAAATACATGCATCGTTTTGTGATTTTTTATTGTTTGATCAATCATTACAAAAATTAAATATTTCATTCATGATCTAGGATCGACAGCAATTCCCGCTACTTGTGTTTTGGAGACATTGGAATAATCTCAACGGACAATTTAGCTTCTTACGTCGTATAGTGCAGGCACCACCTGAAATTTTTAACATTAATGATTACCCTGTTCAAAAAGTTTTGTCTATGGAAGATTTCGCTACGTCAAATGCAAATCTCAAATCAATGTCTGGAATGCTCACGGCGAATCCGTGGAATTCGGTCGAGTTGATAGAGACTATGATAAAAATGGCTGATAGTAACTTTTTTGAGGAGGTTAGACAGTTGTTTGAAAGAGCGGCTAAGCAAACTCCCGAAGTCATGTGTTTAGGACTTGCTCAAGTACAAGTATATATCAGTATTTTCATGTATAATCGTCACGTTACATTTATAATATATCGTCGTCAAAAATTTAACAATCGATATGATTTTTGTAGAAACCTTGGAACCCACTACATCAAGAAATTGTGAACAGATTGATTTCAATGTTTTTGGCCGGTCATTCAAGTTCAACGCCTGTTCTTACGCGATTATGGCAAGTTAACAGTGGTCTTTTCATCGAAGGTTGCCTTGAAATGTATAAAAAAGATGCCATGACCATATCAAGGATATTAGACATTGCACAAGATTTGAAGGTAATTGTTGGGATGCACCTTTGTATTATGATTTGGAAATGTGATGCTTTTTCTTAGTAATTGATACCAATCTTATTAAACGAATTATCATTTTGTTTTCTTTTTCGTCAGCAGATTTTGAGTCCGCTTTTAGAAGTTCAATCATTCTCTTTCTCGATTGACTTGGCAGCTCTTGCTTCACGGAGAGAATACCTTAATTTAGAAAAATGGTTACAGGACAAGATCAGTGAATTTGGTGATTCGTTTATTCACGATTGTTTGGAGTTCCTCAGTCAGAAAATTTCCATGGAAGCTGCACGTGAAAACAATGGTAACCTTCAGTCAGTAAGGCTTACCGGTGACGTATTTGCTATTTTCCTCCGCATTCTTTCAAACAGGTTCGTGTCTATTTCTAAATTCTATTTTTTTTTTTTTGAATTTAACAAATTTTTTTGTATCATTACTAAATTTTCTTTTGTTTAATTTATTGATCCAGTTCAATGTCTCAGGCGAATTCTGAATTATTTAAAGAAATCAATAAAGCATCTATACATGTCTATCCACGCCTCCTGCCCTCAACTTCTGCTGAAGGAAACGTTCCAGATCAAACTTTCACGCCTGATGTAGAGGAAGAAGCAAATTCATATTATGAACGAGTATACAGGCAAGAGATCAGCATCGAAGATTTTATTAAACTTTTACAGAGATTCAAGCATTCTGAAGATCATAGAGAAAACCAAATATTCTCTTGCATGGTGCACAATTTATTCGACGAATATCAATTCTTCCCGAAATATCCACAGAGAGAATTGACGATCACTAGTGTAATATTTGGGTCGCTTATTCAATATCAACTCGTGATTTACGAGGCGCTTGGTATCGCTCTTCGTTACGTTTTAAATGCGCTTAGGAGTCCTGCAGATTCCAGAATGTTTAACTTTGGGGTTCAAGCTTTATCACAATTTCAGTCTCGTCTGCCAGAATGGCCACAATATTGTTCTCAAGTTTTACAAATTACACAATTGCAACAATCCCACCCCGAAATTGTACAATACGTTAGGTCAACGCTTGCTATTAATTCTAATAAGAATATCTCTACAACTGCTACAATTCCTTCTGCTATTCCATCTACTACAACTGCTAGCAATATTAGTAATATTGAACAATCTACAACCAAACCTACTATTAATAATCCGGGTGCAGATATCATCTCTAATAATAAGCCTGTATCTGAACAGAATAACAAAGTGATTGATAGGCCAGCTTTTACCGCTTTGAACCTTGATACATTGTTGGCCGCTGATAAAGTAGATTATGAGGTTCCAAGTGAAGCGGTTCAAGACAAAATTCTATTCATAATTAACAACGTCGCTCAAAGTAATTTGGAAACTAAAGTTTCTGAAATGAAAGATATCCTTAAGGAATCTCATTATCGTTGGTTTGCCAATTATTTAGTGGTAAAAAGAGCTAGTATTGAACCAAATTATCATCAACTTTACCTCCAATTTCTTGAATCACTAGAAAGTCAGTCTCTTTGTCGTCACGTTTTACATGAAACCTTTGCAAATATTAAGGTTCTTTTGAATTCAGAAAAAACAGTACAATCATCATCTGAGCGTTCTTTATTGAAAAATCTTGGATCGTGGCTTGGTGGGATGACAATAGCTAAAAATAAACCTATTAGACATAAGAACATCGCATTCAAGGTTTGCTAATTATTTATAATTATTCATGATTTCAATGAAAAGTTGTTCGTTGTTGCGTATTAAATCTTTTTCATTATTTATATAGGAACTTTTAGTTGAAGGATACGATAGTAATAGGTTAATAGTGGCTATACCTTTCGTGTGTAAAGTGCTTGAACAGGCAGGCAAAAGCAAGGTGTTCAAACCTCCAAATCCGTGGTTAATGGCTATTCTCAAGTTGTTAGTAGAATTATATCAATATGCGGACTTAAAACTAAACCTTAAATTTGAGATTGAAGTTCTTTGTAAGAGTTTGGAAGTTGAACTTAAAGATATAGAGCCCACTACGATCATTAAGGATCGTCCACCAAAGGAGATGGTCACAAATCAAACAGAGAAGATTGCACAAGAATTTGAAAAGTGGCCTACTAACAAATTACAACAACAACCAGCTCCAATTTTATCCGCGCAAACAATCACTATTCCCAATTCTTCACCATTAAGTGATGAACCTGTTACGAACTTGGGATCATACATTACAATAAACCCTAATTTGCCAGTATTTGCAAATCAAGGGTTAAGAAAATTTGTCCATTTAGCCATGGATAGAGCCATCCGTGAAATCATTACTCCCGTAGTTGAAAGGTCGGTAACCATTGCTGGAATTTCAACGAGGGAATTAATCATTAAAGATTTTGCGATGGAGCCGAATGAAGAGAGAATGAGAAATTCGGCTCATCAAATGGTACAAAATTTGGCTGGTAGCTTAGCGTTAGTAACGTGTAAAGAACCATTAAGGATTAGTATGGTAACCCATTTGAAGAATCTACTTTTGCAGAATGGATTTAGTGAGCAAAGCATACCCGAACAGGCAATTCTTATAGTGGTGGCCGAAAATCTTGATTTAGCTTGTTCATTTATTGAGAAAGCAGCTATGGATAAGGCAGTACCTGAAATTGACGAATCATTGGCCTCATCATTCAGTAATCGCAAAAAACATCGGGAGAGAACTGGTCAGCCATATTATGATATGTCAGTTTATTCCGGTATCTCGCGTTACATGGGTAACCTACCTGAACCATTACGATTGAAGCCTAATGGATTATTGCCTCAACAACTGAGAGTATATGAAGACTTTGTCCGTATTCCTCGTTTAAGTAATCAAGCTGCAGAGATCTATTCAGATCGTAGTGTAAGATCTGGTATGATTAGAGGTCAACAACAAGACTTTGGCTTTAATCATCTTTATAATTCTGCTGCTGACATGCAATTTGATGCCCCACAAGTACAAATGCCAATTACAGCTCATCAAAGTTTGGAAAAATTTGCCCAATATCTTTCAGAGTTAGATAAATTGATAAGTAAATCACCAAATTCTTCTTGGACATCTCTACCTTCCAATCACGATATTCGTTTATTAGTCAAAGAAATTCCTTCGTTAGCAACACAATCATTTAATCGGGATGAAACTGCATTGCATTTTTCGCAGAAGGTTGTTCAACTCTTATATAAGAATGATTCAATTCTTTCACGAGAGGTGTATGTTATGCTCCTTGAAAAACTCTGTGAAATTTCCTACAAAGTCAACAAGGAAGTTACTGCCTGGCTGATTTATGCAGATGATGAGGTAAGGGTTTGAACTTGTAATCTTTTTTCTTTTTAAAAAAAAAAATAACATATGGGTTGATTGATCATTTTGTAATTTTGAAAATTTATTTCAGCGCAAATTTATCGTACCAGTGGTGGTTGCTTTGATAAAAGCCGGTCTTATTAACGTCATTGATCAAGATACACAACTCGCAAAACTTATCGAAAATGGAAGACCAACCGTCATTGATTTTACCGCAAAATTGATCCGAGAATGTGTTTTAAGAGATCCTCCTTATGCTAAACGTAGTGATTTTGTAAATTCGTTAGATGCTCTTACTAGATTAACACAACGTGGCAAATCCCCTGAAGCGTAAGTGATAACAATCAAAATTTTAATTTATTTAAATTTTTTTTTTTATATTATATTTAAATTTTTATTATATTATTATATATACATTTACTATGAGTAGTTTGATCCAACTTTTAGAAGACTTAAGACCACGGTCAAACCGGGAGGTACCTGGTAAAGATGTAGAGAATGCGGGATTGCGTGATCAGTTGACATTCTTCTTTGCTGAGTGGGTCCGGGTTTATCATCTTCCAACTTCAAATGAAAAGACTTATGCTACTTTCATTATGCAGGTAAAGTATTCATTGAATGTATTAGATAATATCCATCCTTTCATTAATTAAAGTTAAATTAAAACATTAACATGTCTTATTTAAAGTTACAGCAACATGGCGTATTGAAAGGCGAAGAAATTTCTTCAATGTTTTTCCGTGTTTGCACAGAAATGAGCGTCGATCATTACTTGAAACAAAAGGCGACAGCTCAGGCAACACCCGCAATTGCTTATCAGGCTATCGACGCTTTCTCCAAACTTATTGTTTTATTAGTAAAGTATCATTCGGATCCAGAAGGCGTTAATAATAATGTTGTCAAAATCAATTATCTGACGAAAATATTGTCAATTATTGTGTTGGTGCTGGCACAAGCACATGAACAACGTCGTCATCAATTTAACCAAAAACCATTCTTCCGATTATTCTCGAGCTTGCTGAACGACCTTAATTCGTATGAACAGCAACTTCAGCCCATTTACTTCCAGATTCTCACAGCTTTAAGGTATTTAAGAAAAGAAATTTTATTTTAAAGAAAATAAATTCCCAAAATGCATTAAAAAGCATTATTATTAAAGAAAATAATCTAAAAGTTTGACATAATTTAATTTGTAGTAACAATACTTTCCACACCTTACAACCCATGTTCTTCCCTGGGTTCACTTTTGCATGGCTTTCATTAATATCTCATCGTTTATTTATGCCCAAACTTTTACTTGCAGAGAACCAAAAGGTTTGTCTTTTTAATGATATATTGTTTTTTAATAATAAATTTATCTAATTTTATCATTTTATAATTTTTATCTTGTTAGGGGTGGCCTGCTTTTCATAAACTGCTCATATGTTTATTCAAATTTCTCGTTCCATTCTTACGTAATGTTGAGATGATCGAGACCACACGATTACTGTACAAAGGAACCCTGCGAGTCCTACTCGTGTTGTTGCATGATTTCCCGGAATTCCTTTGTGATTATCACTTTAGTTTTTGTGATGTCATTCCACCATCTTGCATTCAGCTTCGAAATTTGATCTTAAGCGCTTTTCCACGTAATATGAGATTACCAGATCCATTCACACCAAACTTGAAAGTCGATTTGTTACCAGAAATATCACAGTCGCCGCGTGTATTATCTGATTATGCTACTGCTTTGGTCGCCAACAATCTTAAAAACGATATAGACAATTATTTAAAAACACGTTCACCAATAACGTTCCCATCTGATTTGAAACAAAAACTTTTGTTTGAATCCAGTGGTCAATCGGAGATGTTATCTACCGGATCCAAGTATAATGTCCCAGTAATCAACGCTCTTGTCCTTTATGTTGGTATTCAAGCGATTAGTCAACTTCACAACAAATCGGCTCAGGGAATTACACATAGTGCACCTATGGACATTTTCCAACAATTGCTTACTGATCTGGATTCGGAGGGTGGGTTATATTGAATTGATGAAGTATAAGTAATTATGTATTTTAATATATGTATAAATAATTATATTATTTTCTTTTACAAAACAAACCATTTTAGGTCGATACCTTTTTTTGAGTGCTATTGCCAATCAACTTCGATATCCTAATAGCCATACACATTATTTCAGTTGTATATTATTGTATTTGTTTGCGGAGGGTAATCAAGAAGTAATTAAAGAACAAGTGACACGGTACGTTAAATTCTTGATTTATCTTTTTAGTCTTATGAATATTTCTATATATGTTAAATTATTTTAAATTTATAGGGTGCTTCTCGAACGATTAATTGTTAATCGTCCACATCCATGGGGGCTTTTAATCACATTTATTGAATTGATCAAGAATCCTCGTTATAATTTTTGGAGCCATTCGTTCACTAGATGCGCGACGGATATTGAACGCTTATTTGATAGTGTCAGCCGGTAATTGTCCCATTTGTTAAAAATACATTCTATTTTATTAATAATTTGTTGAGGATTATCTAACGCAGCAAATATCTTCGGTGTTTATATAAAAGGTCTATCAATCAAGTGTAGAATCTGTAAATCTTTGTTCCCTTTGCAATCTCATCATTTCTAGATCCTCACATTTTCACAAATTACATTTACATAATAATTGTACAGCATTATCGATTTATTTTTCTGTTTTTTTTTTTTTTTCTTATTGTTTTTCTTTTTTCTTTTTCTTTTTCTTTTTCTTATTTCTTTTTTTCTTAGATTTTCATTTAATTTGATTCAAAAGAAATAAATTGTGTATAGAAAGAACATTTATATTATTCAATATTTTATAATATTTTATTGGATAAAAAAAAAATTTTTTTTAAAAACAAAATTTTCAATTTTTTAAAATTTTATTATTTATAACAATTCTAACAATTAGTGTGTAGTTTATTGATATATGTAAAAAAAAATTTTTTTTTTAACAATAAAGATACATACTTTTATCAATTCTAAAAATAACGCAACAAAAGATAGACATTTTCTCGTAACATCTTCATCTATATGCACGCTATAAGTGAACAAAAAAAACTTATACTTGAATAAAATTGGTTAATCACGTTATGATCATACATATTTAATATAAGAAACGGGTTAATATTTTTATTTGCTGAATTTGGATTTGGGTGATACGGAATTTTTTTAAGTTGTAGTATTTCCTGTAAAGTGGTGTAACATTTGTATCGTTGAATTACCAAAACAACAGATCTAGATAAATCGGATCTAGATAGATCGTGCTTTAAATAATTAAAGAATTCATCAGTTGCCACAAACATAAGATCATCTATCACCTCTCTTGTTAATGATTCCTCACTTGCCTCAAATTTTTAACGAATTATATTTCAGATAATGTCATCTAAGAATGTCAATACTTTTACAATTGGTAGTCGTAAATCCGAATTGGCCTTAATTCAGACTAAACAAATACAACGACTCTTGGAAGATTCATTTCCTGATCATTCATTCCCTATTACAAGTATGACAACAATCGGTGACAAGATACTCTCGAAACCTTTATCTCAAATTGGAGAAAAATCATTATTTACCAAAGAACTTGAGGTCGCCTTACAAAATAACATTGTAGATTTAGTCGTTCATAGTCTTAAAGATTTACCGACAAATTTACCAGAAGGAATGACCATTGGTGCCATTTTGAAACGAGAAAATCCTGAAGATGCGCTTGTCATAAAAGAAGGCCTGCCGTACAAGTCGGTGGACGAATTACCAAAAGGAAGTGTGATCGGTACTAGCAGCGTTAGAAGATCAGCTCAACTGAAAGCTTCTTATCCGAATTTAGCATTAAAGGATGTTGTATGAATTGATCTTTACTTTTTTTTATTTATTTTTTAATACAACCTTTTTTTAAAGTTTACTCATTCCCAATTTTTATGATTACAAACTTAAAAAGAGAGGAAATTTGTAAGTGATCGTTTCTTCATCTATTTTTACTAATGATATAGAATTTAAAGATAACCTCCCGAAATGATGAATATAATTTCACTTCAGAAACACAAGACTAACAAAATTAGATGATCCAAGTGGACCGTATTCAGCCCTTATTTTGGCTGTGGCAGGTCTTGAACGTTTAGGAATGAGTCATCGAATATCTCAAACTTTTTCACCAAGCGTTATGTTACATGCGGTTGGACAGGGTGCATTGGCTGTAGAATGTCGTACTGATGACAAACAGATTATTGAACTTCTATCTGTGCTTGAAGATAAAGACACCAGATTAAGATGTACAGCAGAACGTTCGTTATTGCGTTCTTTGGAAGGTGGATGTAGTGTTCCTATTGGTGTTAATACAAGATTCATTGAGGCACAAAATGGAGCACGAGAATTGAAATTATTAGGATTAGTAGCAAGACTGGATGGGTCAGAAATCATTAAAGCTGAAGGTCAGAAAAATGTTGATGAAGGTGGTATCGAAGCAGCAAATGAACTTGGTAAAGAGGTCGCCAGGATTTTGGTAGAAAAAGGAGCGAGTAGTATATTGGAAGAATTGAAAGTTTCAAGACAATAAAAAATAATAGGAGAATTTTGATTTTATTGTTAATATAAGATTTTTATTTTGAAATTATTTTTTTTTTTTTCTTTCTATACTTACTTTTATCTAAAAATTTCATTATCATCAATGAATATTAGGAGGAAGGAATGCACTATAGATGCTTATTGTCAGTACATTATATTTACAATATAACGAATTCCAAGAATAATTCTTACACTTAATTCATTTCAACTCAAATATGACAAAAAGGTTAAAAAAATTTTTCATTCAGAATTGAGAGATTTTCCAATTCATCCAAAAATTTACTTTGAAGCCCCACCATAATGTAAAATTGCCTCATAGCAGAAGAACATGATAACGGCATTTGGTACAACTCGCATTAAATGAGCAGTCATACCACCATACATTGCCGCAACACCTTCCTCTCGAACAATTGTTTTTATACATCGTACAAGACCTTTATACTTAGCATCGCCATGTACAGGAACTTGACGCATACGAGTTCTGATAACCTTTTTGGGTTCCAAATAGAGAATTATCAGAGAGATGAATTATCAATAACTTTTCTAATATTATATATACGATACATACTTCATGAGGATAACTAACACAAGCAGCGATCAATTTCGCGGAAGCAGCGGCGGCTAATTTATCAAACCATGGCCATTTGTCATCAGATTTTATAATATCGCCGGATACGTTTCTCCTTTTCTCTCGGTTTTTCGCAAACGTTGATTTCAAATATTCATATGTCACCCACTGTATAGTACCTTCAGTAATACCTGTATCATCGAAAAGGATCAGTAAGTCACGAAATAAATTTGCATTATGATCTCAATGAAGAATCTCCTTAATAATCAAATACCTAAATATGATGCGCTAAGTCCTTTATACAAAGCTCGTACACCTTCTTCCCGGACTACTTTTCTAACACAATCATAAGAATTCTTATATTTCATAGGAACTTGCAATGAAGTATTTGTGGATGATTGAAGTTGCATTCGAGTTTTCACGAGCCATATCGGATTGGTTGCTGTTGATGTGGTGATTCCTGTTTCATCGAAAAATATCAGAAGTCTCTAGGTTAATATATGAAAGGGATCAACTAGTCAATTTGAATTATAAGATCAATCAACCTGCTGTGATCGCAGCCGTCAAATGAACTAATGAATTTTCATGACCTCCATTCAGTTCTGTCAAAACCTTCTTGCCGTTACCATACGTAAAAAAATTAATTGCTCTGTAAAATAAAAAAAATTGTACAATTAAAACTTTAAATATTACAAAGTTTATCAAAATAATGATCAATACCTAGCAGGCACAACTCCAACCAGATTTGGACCTAACCCTTTGAATAATGCTCTCCATCCTTCATTACGATACACGTCCCTAAAGAAGAATGTTTTTGGTATCAGTGATGACAAAAATTTTTCCGAGATTAAGTCGTGAAAAGAAAATAAATTTAAAAAAATAAACTCTTACGATAAAATTTTGCCTGTTTGAATAAAGTGCCCTATAATCGGAGTAGCTGCCCGTTTGGAATCTTGTAACGATTTCAATTTTGTTTTATAATACGTTGACTACAGAAAATTATTTCTCTAGCAAACCATTTATTTGATAAAACTGTAATCATGTAATGAAAAATTTTTTTGAGAAAAGTACCTGTAGTCGCGTTTTAACAACGTCTAATGGAGAAGTTACGGTTGCTCCAATCATGCCTCCAGTACTAAATTTTGTGCGCGTAAAACATTAAAAAGGATTTAATTAAAATACTAATAATACATAGAATACTAACCCTCCGGCCACGAAATGCAGCCATGCCTTGGAGGCTTCTTGTCTTTTTTTTGAAGTAGCTGGTGATTGTTGTAGAACAGAAGTTTGTGCGGAAAATTTTAAAGGTGTTGCTGCCATTCCCTCCACTTTTATTTTATTATTTTTTTTTTTAAAAAAAAACTATTTAATTAAGAACTAAAATAATAAGAGCAAGGTGGAATTTGAAAAACGAAAAAAAATTTTTTTTTATAATTATGACTCATAAAATATTTTTGATCCGATCATATCCGGAATATTTTCTCCAAAGAAATCATCTGTTTTTGTATGTCACGTCCAGTTTCAATTAAATAACATCAAAAAACAAATCTTTTTGTAAAGTAGATTTTCCGGATGGGTTAAAATTATTATTTTTATTTTTAGTATAACCTTAAAGTTGTACTTTTTTGATAAATGGACAATTTATAAGAAATTTATGCGCTTTAGAAAGTTGTGTCAAATTACTTATTTTGGACATTATATTAATTATTATGCGCCACAAGCATTCATTAAAAAAAAGAACTATTGTCGAGGAAAATATTCATTAATTTGCTCAAATTCAAATCAATTTTATTTAAGAACCAAAAAGAAAAAAAGGTTCGTTTCTCAAAAATGGCATTGTCTTTAAGAATGACGACACAACGGTGCGATTAAGTTCAAAGATAGAATAAAAAAAAGATTTTTTCATAAGTTTTTTATGAAGAATAGAATATCGAAACTTAATCTTTGCATTTCTACATTCCTTGATTTAATTGAAATATTTAATTACAATACTCTAGCGTCTTTAGAACCGCTAATTGTTATTATAACCTTGAACCTATTCCTAACATAATTTAAACTTAAATCGGGCGCAGAACACCCAATTGTGAAAATTTGCCGATCGACTTTATAATGTATAAATTTTTTTAAAAAAATAAATAAAAAATAAAAATATTATGACAGTCAAATAAACTTGCATAAATGTTCTGTACATATATATACATACATATAATATTGACAATGATCCGTCGATGATCACGTGGAATACATTATGCGGGAATTTAAATTTTCAGGGATGAAATGATTTTCTTTTAAATAAAAACTCCGTAAAATCGGGTAAATCGAACAATTTTATTAAGTTTGTATATAAGCAAATTATAAAATATGGAATGATGGCCGCCACGCATCAATTCAAACTTGCAAACGTTCCATATTCATTAAAATATTGTCTGTGGGTTGAAGAATAAGTCAAAAATCTGTCGGGAGAAAGGATATGAAAGCAAAAATCATTGGCAACATATAAGCCATAAGCAAATATGCGAATGCTAACATTTGATCTTATAATTCTCAAAATTACAAATTACTTTTTAATTTATTGATGTGATTTGCTTTTTTGATCTCTCTTCTATATCTTGCACAAATCCGATTCTTTTTTTACATCAACATTTTTGCATTAAATCTGATTTTCCTTCTTCCTGAGCTTTTCTTTACGAATTATTGGAAAAAGTTTTTTGAAAAATATTCCAACAAAAATTATTATTTATCAAATGATCTGCATTTTTGCATAGTAATGCAATGCAAATGAATCGTTTATGGTTATTGATTTACATCATAAAAATAATTTCTTCTTGTTTGAGAATATTATCTTAATATTTTTGAGGACGGGAAAGTCGGGTTCTAGTCTTTTGCTGACGGTCCAGTCATCCATTTTTGGTTACTCTAACTTTTGTAACATATCACAAAATTATATATGATGTGATATATGAACATCTTCAAATGCAGATCATGTTAGTCTCTAAATCTCATTGGTTTATTTTACTCAAATGCAATTATACAAATCACAATTTTTTCTATATCATTTTTCATTGATTTCTTTTTTTTTTTTTTTTTTTGCACAACAAACAACTAATTAGGAACCTTTTCCAACGGATAACCAACAGGCGTCGACTACTTCAACGAAAAAAGTTAACTCTCCTAACTTTTCTTTAAAGGAAATACGTCTTCCTATTAATTTTTTCGACCTTTGATCTTATTGTTCCTATTTAAGTGTCTATACCTTTAATTAATATTTGGTCCGTCTTCGAGGCCATCGAGAATGTCTTGATCATAAAAAAGAATTGGTTGGTGTTCACGACTTCTTTGCCGTGTTTGCGTCAATCCATTTTTCTGATCCGGCGTATGGTGACAGCGAATGCATAAGCACTTTCTTTCCATTTTATATCTCTCTCATATATATATATTATATTATTTATATTGTTCATATTAAAAAATTCCTTTCTTATAAATATTAACTATTCTGTGTAATATAGATTCTAAAATATTTTATAACTATTACATCTATCTAGTACCTCCCAGATACTTGGTTTCTTTTTATTTTTATATATTTTTATAATCTAAAATTCCGACAACCTCGTTAGAAAGTGTCTGTGCGGAAAAATCTTTTGCACTCGTCAAAAGAATGTCAAAGAGTTTGTCACAGAACATGGTAACTATTTCCTTGCTTTTCTGTACCGCCTCAAAGACCGAATTATCCTTAAATTTGAACAATAAATTTTAGTTTATTTATTTTATTTTTATTTATTTGACTTAATTATTATCTAATTTTCTAATCCATGTTCTTTTTAATAAAGCCCTCCTTTGTCACGTCCGTTTCTGAAACCTCGTCTCCTATCAATGGTGTTGTCGTTGATGATTTGTCTTTAACAAACGCACCTTCAACAACTGAGGTCAAAAAGATTGTACTGTTGAAACGAAATCCAAACATTAACAACAATACGATTAATAACAACAATATGAACAGTAGTCCTACGAATAATGCAGGATCTAGTAATGTTGTTCAATCGTATGAATTATTATTACCAAACCCCAATAGGTCTGAAACATCATCGCCAAGCCTTGACATGGAACTGACACCAGAGCAAGCTGCGCATCTTGGTGAAATCGATTTTAATACGGGTCTTGATGGATTCTTATTGGCCGCCCTTAAAAATCCAAAAGATAGACTATTTCTCTTAAAATTGGATCGAGAAATGGAACGGTTTATAAAAGAAAAAAAGTATATGATTTTCTTCTTAAATTATCAAGTATTTCGTACGTTATATTATGTTGTAATTTAAATTTTTATTATCGTGTTTTCATCTAATTATCACAGTCGCACGCGATTAGAATTTCCACCTATGAATTCCTATCAAAGACTTATTGTTCATCGTGTTGCACAATATTTTAAATTATCACATGTGGTGGATACAAGCGGAAAGGCTGTGGTTTTATACAAGTCCGCAGAAACTCAAATGTATGTTGTTTTTTTTATTCTTTTTTTTTTTTTTAAAAAAAAAATGATTTTATAGTTTAATTAATTTTCTATATATCATTATTTGTTTAAGGCCTATTCTCAGATTTTCTGATCTTCTTGAACAAGAGGAAGAAAAACCTGAAAAATCAGTGAAAATTATGAGACGGCAGCAATCATACCCTCAAGGACAACTTAGATCTGGAGATTCAGATAGTAATTCTGAAGGTGAACGTAAACTTTTGACAATCGAAGAGCGTGAAGCTGCATATCAAAAAGCTAGGGCCAGGATATTTAAAGATTTGGAACAAAAAAATGGGGAGAATGAGCAGGAAGACACTGATGGGTCTATAAACTCGAGTCCTAGTGTAAAAAGTTCCAATATTCCAACTAGTAATGATAATCAGAATAGTGACTCATCATCCTCTAACAAGTCCAAAGGGAATCAGCAACAGCAAAATGGCAAAGGTGGGAACAACAATAAGGGTGGTAAACAATCACAGCAGGCAAATAAGGCTGCAGGAAATAACAAAAACTCTAATAATAAAAATAATGGAAGTAACGCAAAGAATCGACAACATCATCCTGCAAGAGTACAAACTTTTCCTCCAATGGATCGTACGTTCTTTATGAAGCAAGGTCGTCCGATTCCAAATTTCCCGCCACAAATGATGCCCTCCGGACATTTTTGTCCACCATTTTTTAATACACATATGAATATGAATATGTATGATGTTAATATGTTACCTATGCAACCACCAATTATGCCACCTGATATGCAGCCACATTTGCCAAACCACTACATGAACATTCCTACTGAGTGGAACCCTACACTTGGTCATTACACGCGACCAGGGGTTAGAAATTTATGGGGGACTGATTCGTTTAACGGTCCTCAAGAAATGAGTGGAAGCCCTTCTTTGTTCAATCATCAACAGAATAATCCAAATCCGTTTTTACCTCCTCGAACAACGCCACAGAGTGATACAAATTTTGTTCAGAATCAGACTCAAAATAATTTAAAACATATGAACCAATTCCCTCAGAATCCTTACGCACATCCTCCATATACAGAAGGTAATCACGTAATGGCCGTATCTTCAGGTGATGGTAATTCAAATAAGTCGTCGGTTCGCGAAGGTACTACTTCTCCTAATTTCTCTTTTATCTCATTTATTTGGACTAATAAATATCATCGGGAATAATGACAGGCAACGAAGGAATTAATGAAAATAAAATGAATGATCGTCAATTGGAACAGAAAAGACCCAACAATAGAAACTCGGTTAATCATCAATCTCAACAACGTGACGGTCCGGTAATTATATTTCAATGATTTTATATAAATAAATAAATACTTTTAGGATGAATAATAAATAATTATTGAAAAAATTATTTATATATTATATTTTATATAGTTCTTTAATCCTGTTTGGAATAATTCTTCCGATTCCCAGACAAATGTTTTTAATCAATCGCAAACATCGAATGAATTTCCCGTTCAGAATGCACCTGGAATGTCCATGATGCCATCCCACATTTATCCGGGGATGATCCCCCCTCCAATGACTGGGCAACCAATGGGACCTCGACGTAACAATAACGGCAATCAAATATTTCCCGGACCAGTTCCTCAAGATTATATGCAACGTATGGGTATTGCACCACCACCTATCATGGGATTCCCCCCCCAGCCAACACAGCCAAATATGACGACTACAGGTGCAATAAGACCTCCAAAGTCATCCGAACTATTTGATCCAAACAATTCAAACAATCTTCCCACATCAACTGCTTTGAACACAGCCCCCTATAATAAAGTACCTGTTACTTCTTTACCGGTTAACAATACTTCTCAAATATTATCAATTCCACCTACGAATATATTATCATTACCCTCAAGACCTACTCATCCAATTTTATCATCTAAGGTAGTTTCTCCTTCAGGTAATAATAATATTAATAATAATAATAATAATAATAATAATTCTCAAATTTCGTGGCCTGGAGGGCCAGTAGGAACAAAAGTAAATACACTACCATCAAATCACAATAACTCTAATAATCGTCGTAAGAATACGAACGATAATAGTAATAGTAATGCTAGCAACAATTCTGTTGTAGATGGTACTATGATGCGTTCTCTAAGCCTTTCATCAAATAGTTCTCAACAAGGCAAGAATCATCATAACAATCATAACCATCATAATAATAATCATCATCATCATCACAATCGAGCATCATCTACACCTCCTCCAGGTAATGGTAATCACAACAAAAAGAATAAGGATGGTCCACTTTTATTTGATTATTCTATGCAAGTGCCATATGAAGGAGTAAAACCGAGTGAAGGTAATATAATTATAAAATTTGATTAGAAAATCTTTTTCAATTTGTAATTATTTATCGTTATTATTTATTTATAGCCAATGAACCACAAAAACCAAATCATATACTTGAACTCTATGATTTTGGTGAATCAGATGATCTTATGAACATTACATTAACTAATGCTATCATCAAGCGTGTAAGCCCTCCAAGCACTTCACCAAGTAAAAGGCCGACTATTCTTGCAATATTTAAGAATGCGCGTGAAGCGAACAAAGCAGTTCAAACTTTCAGGGGAGTTCGTTTTAAAATTAAAACCTGGGAACCATTAGTGAAAACAAACGTTATAAATAATGGAGGTTCTCCGACATCGACTGGACAGATTTCAACTTCTATAAATTTGACACCATCAAAAAAATAAGAATTATACAAAAAAAGGGAAATACAAGAAAAGAAGGAAAATAATAATAATATGATTATTAGATTAGATCTTATTTACATGTAATTAAATGCAGATCATTTATCATTTTTGTATAAATACACTTGTAATTCTTCAATAAATAATAAGTTTTTTTGAACTTTAAAATGAATGAAATATGTTTAAATGTTTGTTCTAATATTTAATTATATAAATTAAATCTAAATAAAAATTACGCAATATGAAAATTTAATCTTAGAAGATATTGAAGATAAATTACGTTCTCGGAATTATATAAATATTATAAACAAAAAAATAAGACTTTAGAAGAAATAAATTTGTAAAAATCTTCCATTTAGCTGATTATTATCAAATATCATATTAAATCTTTTTCTATTTAGTTATTATCTTTCTTAAATAATAAATTTTTTAAGTTTTAACTTTTTATTATTATGCATATACTTTTTTAAACTATAAATAAATTAGAAAATTTTTATTTATATTTGTAGTATTTGAATATATATTATATGATTTAATGATATAATAAAATCATAAATAAGAATTATAGTATTTCAATAATTTTATATGAATTTAAACTTTATTATATATAAAACGGATCATTATATTTACAATAAATATTAAATAAATACTAAATTTCAGAATTAAGCTACTAAATAATATTTTGCCATTTTTGTATAATATTCATCTTATTTATAATATACTTTTTATAATTCCAACTTTTTGTATCATTTCTTATAATATTTATTATTATCTCTTATATTAATTTGTCTATGATTCTTAACACCTTAAATAAAATTATTTAACACTTTAGATCTTATAAATGTTATCCTTTATGTTTGATAACAGAATTATAGTATCAACTAAATTTTTTGTTTATTAATTATTTATTTTATTTTTAATATTATAAATAAAATTTTTAAATATACTTGATAATTTTAAATATTAGCTTAATAATATAATTAATAAGATTCTATATATGTTATCTTCATTAATAACTTTTATAAGAATATATATTTATAAAATAATCATATATAGGACATGATATAACAAAATCAGACAAAGTGAACATTAGATATTCAGAAATTAAAATTTAGATATTATTATTACAATTGCATTGTAATTATAAGTTCCAATATGTTATCTTAAGTGATATATAAATTATCCCTATAAAAATAGTTAATATGAAACTCATCTACACTAGGTCTACCATAAAATCCAGTACTATTAAAAGTATTTTAAATACATGAAATTAATGTTTTTGGATAATTTAAATGATTTATAGTTAAAGTGATTTTATTGGTCAATTAAATTAAGATTTTTATATCAATTTAAATAAATAGCATTATATAAGAAAAAAGAACTGATAATTACAGAAATAAAGATGATAAAAAAAAATAATACAAATAAAATCTTCAGAGTCATTTTATATTAATAGAACAAAGTAAATGTCACTTGCTCTTATATGCAATTTATCATAAAGGTTAATTTTTAACTTAGAAAATAAATTCACTTTGCTTAATAAAATTCTCATTTTTTTTTATTTTATTAAAATCATGATTTTTAACATTTATTTGTTTTGTTTCTATTGCATATTGAACTTGAACTACTATAAAATTGTATAAATTATATATAAAAAGATCAGATATATACAGCTTTGGGACAATAATAACATAGAAACATATTACAGAAAAATCTTTTTCCATGATAGATTACATTTTCATCACCTTATCATATTTTAAAAATAAATAATGACAGTAATTTAAGATAGTAATAAAATCCAAAATGAAAGAAACAAATACCATATTATATTTTAAAGAATTATATGGAATGTATATGTAAAAGTTGTGGTATAAGTACTCAAATGATTTGTATAAGTATCTGGATACTTATGATTAAATCTAAATATCCCTGTTATGAATACAAACACTAGGTTGTGATTAAAAATGAAAAGTAGAAAAACATATGAGACGTTATACTATTCTAAAGCAAGAGTTATGAAAAGTATTAGAAGTTGAAATAAAAGTAGATGTTGAGAAAAAAAAATTAATTATGATCATAGTGACAGTGATTTAATATTGATGAATATTAAATTCTTCTAACCTATAAAATAATAACATTTTTTATTTATACAGTAAAATTTAAAATAAATATGAATTTATTATTTTTGACCAATAAAATCATTTCAATCATAAATCATTTCAATTATCCAAAATCAATTTGACTTTATTGAAATTTTATCAAAAAGTCAAAACTATTTTCAACTATTTTGATTATCTAAAAAAGTCAAAATTGTTTTTCAATGCAAAGTAAAAAAGTTGGAAACTAGAAATTTCATAAAATTAAGAATATATTCTGATTATAAATACAATAGCATCCAAAAGTAACATACTATTCTTACTGCTAATCATTAATTTCCATATAATTGAAATTACCAAATGCCTTACATTTTTTCTCATTTTTTTTTAGTATTTCGAATCAGCAAATTCTGAGATAGTTGATATTTGATCTAGAGTCCAAATTCTGTAGTAATAAAGTCAAAAAAGATATTTTAAATATACCACCAAGTTTTATTTCTAACATTTCCTGCTAAATTAAGTAATATAGTTACTTAAACCTTAATATCTATTGGGTTGATCGAGCTCTACCTTAGCTGAATCCTGGTGTAAAAGCAGTTTCCAAATTCCTTAAATTGGAACTATACCTTTTATTAATAACTTAAAAGAGAAAGCTATAGTAAAGTATTCTTTCTATAATAAATACATTTTATAAAAAAAAAATAAAGTACATGTAAAATTATCCAGAACAAAATAATATAGATGCTAATAAGAGTAAAAATGAAGGAGTTAAAATTTTATTCTGCATTTCACAATAATGTATATTGATATATATTACTCATTAACCATTGCATTGATAATAAATAATCCAAATAGTATATACCTATAAGATAGATCTATTGATGATAGAATTGAACATGACTTTAATTAATAGTTTTTAAATTTTAATAAATAAAGAACTACAGTTTCCAATAAGTTACTACCTTTGGGTCGTATAACAAATGAAAAACTGTTATAGAACTTAGCTTGCTTTTGGGCCGCAGCATTATTCTATCTTATCTGTCTAACCTTATCGCAAAGATGCTATCCATCTTTGGGCTGCAATAGCATTTGACATATAAAGTACATCAGAGGAATTATATTGCCTTTGGGTTGCACATAGTTTATGGGTATGCAGCTCTGGCCTCCTCGCCATTGGGATGCAGGAAGGAATAAAAATTCCAAATCAGTTGCAGGTGTCATTATTTTACCTTTTTAGCTGTTGGTTTATTCTGCATTTGTTTTCTGACAGTATTATTTCAAGATATGTTAACGGTCTAATGTTGGACAGTTCAGACCAGTCCTGATCATAAGAATAGTTTCAGTCCAGTTTGAGGGATGGACTAGACTGAGATCAGATCGACAAACTGCAATCTTAAAGACCAGTTTAATTATAATTATCCATGCATTTTTACGTGTCTAACTTAAATAAGATTTTTTAATTTGCATTCATTCAAGTTATTTAGATAATGATGTAAATAATAATGTAAATCAATTTCTATAAATGTTTTGAGTTAATCATTTTGATTACATATTTTTATTATTTATTTCTTATTTAGAATTCAATAATGCAAATTACATCTTCAGTGTCTCAACTTACAGAAACAGAAATAAAAGTAATTATATTATAGTTGGTAACATCAACTCTGATGCCTTATTTGGTATACTTATGTTTATTTCGATAAAAAGGACAGAAAAAGAAAACAACCTTGTGTTAAATATTGATGCTACAGAAAAGTCTCCTTATGCTAGTAAAGAAATAAATAGTAGCTTCTATTCGTACAGGTCAAAAATCCCTAAGACAAAAAGAATAGTCACGTAAGTTTTGCAATAATTTTTACATGACATTAGCCTGATTACTTAATATATTACTTATATATTTATAAGCCTACATATTAGGGGATTTTTGACCTAACAAAAAAATCACTTTTCAATTGTAAAGAAATTGATGATGCCATGTTAAAACATTTGGGTTGTGATCTAAGAAAATCAAGTTTTAAGAATTTTTTATCAAAATTGAGATTTTAATTGCATTTTAATTTTTATTATATTTAGATCAAAATATAATAAGATATTAATTTAATCAAAAATTTAATTTTCTTAGATCATAACCCATTTGTTAAAGGAATTGTTAAATGCAATTTAATGGAAGCCAGTGTCACTTCCACCAAATATTCAGAAGTACTTTAACAGCAATTGTAGTATCAATTTAAGTAAAGAAAATTAAAAAATTTAATACTAACATTCAATATATGTAAGTATCAATAGCTTAATGTTAATTTATTTACAAAAATTTTATGATAATTTATTGATGTTCTTAAAGGAAGTGTGACTAAAGAAGTTCTCAAAATGACAATAATATATCCTTCTTACCATGCCGGTATCAATAGTACAGTCAAACCTTGATATAGTGAACCCTTGATATAGTGAATTTTTAAATCAAATATATTAAAATTACTTTTACTATTCCTTAGATTGTAGGGTTTCACAGGCAAATTTGCCTGCTTATTTACTATAAATTCTCTTCTGATTTACTTTTATAAATAATTAATATTTTTAAGAAATTTTTTTTTAAATTAATTATATAAATATGTAATATATTATAA